AATAAATTTTTTAAATTTGTTGTCAAATTAGGTCCTGTGTATCTTAATAAATCCGGAAAATTTTTAAGAATACTTCTTTTTAATCTTATCCAAAAAAAACTTTTCAGGAACCAATTTAATGCGTTCTTTAAATTAACTATTCTCTTTTTAGAAACTTCGATATTGATAAAATCGGGGATAACTGCCAATAGGTTACTTTCTATTGGCGTTTGCTGATTAAATAGTTTTGTATAAAAATTGACATTTTTGATTGAAGTAATTAAAAAACCTTCTGAATTTTTAAAATGTCTTCCTCTTCCTGCTCTTCCCATCATTTGAATTATATCCAAAGGAGGCCTTTCGATCCAAGAAAATTTTTCAGGAGAGTAAAATGTCGTGCCTTTTATTATCACAATATTGGTTGGTAAATTTACACCCCATGCAAGAGTTGTTGTAGAAATCAAAATATTTATTAAACCTTTTTTAAAAAGAGTCTCGATTATTATTCTTTCTTTTTTTGGAAGTCCTGCATGATGGATCGATATTCCAAAGGATAGGAGTCTTTTGATTTCAGGTGATCTTATAAATTTGGACAGATTTTCGATTTTTTTTTTTAAATAAATAAATTTTTCTGATAAATAAAATTTGGAATTAATTTTTTTTTCCAGAAAAAAAAAAGCTGTTTTGTAAGTATCGCGCCTACTTTGTACAAAGATAATTATTTTTAAAAATGGGCTTGAACTTAATAACGTTTGTATTTTTTTTAAAGTAATCAAATTTGAAAAGCTGTAATTATTCTTTATTTTTGAAAAATTCTTGAGTCCTATGATTGTTTGGTTAAGTTTAAAAGGTCTATATTTTTTACTAAAATAGAAAATGCCATTCGAAGGGCTCACTTTTAAAAACTCTCCCAAATCATTAAAATTCGGAAAAGTTGCACTTAGCCCTATAATTCTTGTTAAATTTTGGAATTTATTAAATCCAATCAAAAAATTTATTAAGGTATTTTCCAAAACGGAACCTCTTTTTTCATTAAGTAAATGAATCTCGTCTACTATCAAAAGTTTTGTTTTTGATAAAACTTCCAAAAAAAATGATTTATTTAAAAATATATTTATTTTTTCTGGAGTTCCTATGATAATATTCGAAAGTTCAAACTGTGCAATATTTGTTTTTTTATCACCAGTCACCTCAATAATTCTAAATTTGAATTTATTAAACATAGATTTTACACTTGTATAAATTTGTCTCACTAATGTCTTCATAGGAGCTAAATAAATGATTTTCACAACTTTTTCAATAATTTTGCTTTTTGACTTACAAAAAGAAATAGAGTTAATTATTATTCTGAGAATTGCAAAAATTGAGATTAGAGTTTTCCCGCTTCCAGTAGGGGCACACAAAATTAGATTTCCATCAAAATTAATTATCGAGGGAAAGATTTGAGTCTGGATCGGATTTAAATATTGTTTTTTTTTTATAATATATCTAAACCACAAAGGAAATTTTTCAATTTTTAAAACTTTTTTTCTATTTTTGTTTTTTTTCCCATAAAAAAAAATTTCTTTAAGAAAATTATTATTCTGCATAAAAGATTTTGAAAAAAGTTGCGATTTTAAAGAAATTAAAAGTGACATTTTTGACATGATTTTTATTTTATTTTTTAAACGGCATCTGAATTTAAAAAAATTTAAATAAAAAATAAAAAAACCAAAGTAAAAATTTTCAGTAAAAAAAACAGGGGAGAGAAAATTTTTGTATGAAAAATTCGATTTTACAATTAAGTTATGGAAATATCCATTTTTATTTCTTATTTTGGCACGATAATCTATGAAATTTTTTTTATCGAAATATAAAATCAAATTCAAATGAAAAATAATCAGAAAACTTTCTATTTCTATAGATTTACTTAACGAATTCATTAAAAATAAATATTAACTTCGATTGTTCAAAAATGAAATAAAATATTATTATATAATGATTAATAATTCTAGAAACATTGTTTTTTTTTATAATAATTGCGCATTAAATAGCGATGCGAAATACAGACTATTTTCAGAGTATTTTTACAATAAATTCTTAACAAGAAGCGGGTTAATATTAAATTTTTTAAAATATATAACTCTTTTTACTAGAAATAAACAACACACTCTTTTTTTGCTTTTATTTGTTAAAAACTTCATAGTTTCCTATTTTGAAAAGAACTTATTTAAAGATAAGAAAAAACTATTATTAACACTTATGAAAAATTCTTTTTGTACTCGATCTAAAACAAATTTACAAATCAATCAATCCATTAAAGCGATATTTAAAAATAAATTTAATTTTAAAATTTTCAGTGACATTGCTTTAGAAAACATACTTTCTGCTTTTAGAAAAAAAATATTTTATAAAATTAAAAGAGAAAAACTTTGCAATATATTAAATCTGACTTTAATTTTGATCTGTGATTTTTCATTTAAAAACAATGTGTCTATTTTTTTAGAAAAATCAAAAAATGAAATTAAGAAGATTGTGTTTTTTATTTTTGAAAATATTTGTAATATAAATAAAAATGATTCAAATTTTGAAAATGTTTATGGTTTTCTTTTGTGCTTGAAAATTTTTGAACAAATAGAAAACTTTTATTTTAAGTATTTTAATTTTTTGGAATTAGACAAACGATGTTGTATTGTATTGAGTATCCTTTTTTCGTCTTTTTCATCTATTTTTTTAATCAAAAAAGCAAAAATCTATTTGCTTTCTGGAATTTATTATCACTTAATTAGTTTATTTAAAAAATTTTCTGAAAAAAGCAAACATTTCATTTTACCTTTTTTTGAACATTTTAAAAAAATTCATTTAAGTGCAGGAAAAAAAATTTATTTACTGGAAATTTTTTCATTTTTTCATTTTTTTTTGAAAACAAAAAATATTAATATAATAAAATTTAAACACAATCCCAATGATTTCCTGGAAAGCTTTTTTTTTATAGTGTTTACTTTAATAATATCAAAAGAAAGAATGCCTTCCAGTATAAAAATATTTTCTTTTCTAGGAAAACTTAATTTCCAAATAAAAATACTATTTTTATTAAAAATCTTCAAAAATTTTACGAAAACTGAATTAAAAAATATTTTGAAATTTGTTGTTAGTAACAAAACTAAATTTCTTTTAAAGAATAATTATTTTACAAATAAATATCATATTTTTTTAGGTATTTTATTAGGAATTACGGGAAATCAAATAATTGGGGTCAGTGTAACATTCTATCCAAATCTTTTACTTTCTCTTTTAGATGATGCTGAAAAAAATTGTAGTAAAAAACTAAAAAAAAAAGGTTTTACGATAAAAATTGATTTTTTAACTTTATTCAGAAACCAACTCCCAGTTAGAATTTTCGTTAGATTTATTTCACACCTCATCGTCAACTTGGATTTTTTCGATAAAGCTAATTCGCACATTTTTTCAGCATTAGAAAGATTTTTATGTCAAAAAGGAAATGAAAAAGGTTGTATTCTGATGTATAATCCTAATAAGTTGATATTGCAAAAACTTAATCAATTTATAATTAAATTTTTTAAAAAATATAAACCTTCAAAAAAATCATCAGAAAACTTAAACAAATTTTTCTTGAAAATTTTTTCGAATTTTTATTTTTTTAGAAATAATACTATAGAGATTTTCTATTTCTTAACTAAAGAGATTTTAAATTTACTATTATTGGAAACGAGGGAAAATTCAAAACTTTTTTTAAACGAGATATTATTTTTATTTTTACAAAACGCCTCAGATAAAAATTACAACATTTTTCAAGAAATCTATTTTTTCGGTAACCTTTGTATAATTAAGGAAGATATAGAGAATTTACCATTTGTCATTTGTATTTTTTCAAAAATGTTAAATATAGAAACCGATACCTCAAGTTTTAAGTTTTTCACCAAAATCGCATACTGTTTTTTAAATCCTCATATTTTATCCTCAAAATGTTTGGTTAGACCTATTTTACATTACTTGGGTCGATTTTTTATTAAAACAAATTTGTTTTTAAATAAAAAGCATATGGCATATTTTTTAACAGTTCTAGAAACTGTTTTTAAAAAATATAGCGAATTTGAAAAAATTTTTGTTTGTTTTAAATATATTTTTTCTCATTTTCCTCTAAAAAAATCTTTAATATTGCATTTTATTGAAACTTTTTGTACAATAGAAAAGGATACTATTGATAATAATTATTATAATTTTCTTTTAGGAATAATTTTAACGATTTTGGAAGAAAAAAATATAAAGGCAAAATTGAATGTAATTAAAATGAATTTTCTTGATCTTTTGCTTAGTTTATTAGAAAAAAAAATCAAACCTTTGTATAAAGAACGTGGTAATTCTTTTTTCACGGAATATTTTTTATTAATTAATAACAATGGGGGAGATCACAATCCTTTGTCGCCTTTTAAAAAAATAATTTGCACATTGTTTAGAAAAGCAATTTACCAAAAAAGTTTTTTCCAAAAAAGTCCCCATTTTGCTATAGATTTTATTTCCAACCAGGTACGTTTTGATAAAATTAAAAATTTCAAAAGTAATGGAATCATTAATCAGGAATGTTTTTCCTTAAATTTCGAAAGTATAAGGTTCATAAAAAATATACTTTCAAAATTGTAAAATTTAATAATCCAGAAATCAAAAATTTTTTATTTTTAACAATATATAATTTATGCTAAAACCATCAACTTTTTCCTTAAATTTTTCATGAATTTTTTAGATTTTAACTTTTTAGATTTTTTTTTTTTTTTAATTACCACATTCCATTCAAGAAATAATTTGCTTATAGAATCGATTGAATTTTTAAACACACTCCCAAAAATTTTTTCCTTAGTGTTTTTTTGTATAAAATCTCTTGATGTTAAAAAAGCAGTGTATAAAATGAAAAAATCAAAATTTTTTTCCATTCTTCTCGTATATCAATTTGGTTAATAAAACGTTATTATTATGTTTATTAATTTAAAAATTGTTTATATATTTTTCTTAAACGAATTTACCTTTGCCACAACCTGGAATCGAACCAGGATCACCACGGCCACAACATGGTATTCTAACCTTTGAACTATTGTAGCTAATTATTTAAAATTACATTTTTAATAATAGAATTTTTAAATGTTTTTTTATTTATATATTATTCCATTCAACCCTTTAAGATTCTTAGAAAAAAAATTTTTGTACAGAATTATTTTTTCAAAAGAATTTTTATATTAAATAAACTTATAATTTTTCAAAGAATTTACGATATTTCCCCAGAGAAAAAAATCATTTTTTTACCTGAAATCCCCTAAGAACTCCTGATCTAAATTTATTTTTGATTCGCTGGAACCATCTAAGAACTCCTGATCTAAATTTATTTTTGATTCGCTGGAACCATCTTCTGATTTTTTTTTTCCAATGGCTTTTTTTAAAACGAAAATACAACCCGTTAAAATTAGTAAACATAATCCGATCGATTTAGTGGAAATTTTTCTACATTTATTGGGTACTTTACTTGTATTCTTTTTATCAAATGGTTTTCTAATCTGATTGGTTGAAAAGTTGACGAACCC